AAGAAACAGCTGCAAACATCCATTAACAATAGGAACATGGAATGTGTGAAGTATGAATCTAGGAAAATTGGAAGTAGTCAAAAATGAAATGGAATGCATAAAGATAGATACCTTAGGCATTAATGAGCTAAAGTGGACTGTTATTGACCATTTTGAATCAGCCAATCATATAGTCTTCTATGCAGGGAATGTCAACTTGAGGAATGATGTTGCATTCATCATCAAAAAAAAAAAAAAAAAAAAATTCAAGATCTATCCTGAAGTACGAGTCTGTCAATTATAGGATAATATCCACAGGCCTAAAAGGAAGACCAGTTAATAGGACTATTATTCAAATTTATGTACCAACCACTAAGTCCAAAGATGAAAAAATTGAAGATTTTTACCAATTTCTGCAGTCTCAAACTGATCAAACATGCAATCAAGATGCATTGATAACTACTGGTGATTGGAATGTGAAAGTTGGAAACAAAGGAAGATTGTTAGTTGGAAAATACAGCCTTGGTGATAAAAACAACAGTGGAGATCACATGATAGAATTTTGCAAGACTAATGACTTATTCATTGAAAATACTTTTATTCAACAAAATAAATGGCGACTATATGCATGGACCTCACCAGATGAAATACACAGGAATCAAACCAACTACATCTGTGGAAAGAGACGATGGAAAAGCTCAACATCATTAGTCAGAACAAGGCCAGGGGCCAACTGAGAAACAGACCATCAATTGCTCACATGCAAGTTCAAGTTGAAGCTGAAGAAAATTAGAACAAATCCATGAGAACCAAAATACGCCCCTGAGTATATCCCACCCGAATTTAGAGAGCATCTCAGGGATAGATTTGATGCATTGAACATTAATGAATGAACACCAGATGAGTTGTGGAATAATGCCAAAGACATCATACATAAAGAAAGGAAAAGGTCATTAAAAAGACAGGAAAGAAAGAAAAGACCAAAATGGATGTCAGAAGAGACTCTGAAACTTGTTCTTGAAGGTAGAATAGCTAAAGTTAATGGAAGAAATGATGAAGTAAAAGAGTTGAACAGAAAATTTTAAAGGGCAGCTCGAGAAAACAAAGTAAAATATTATAATGAAATGTGTAAAGACCTGGAATTAGAAAACCAACAGGGAGGAGAACGCTCAGCATTTCTCAAGCTGAAAGAATTGAAGAAAGATTTCAAGCCTCCAGCTGCAATATTGAAAGATTCTATGATGCAGGAAGCATCCAAAGAAGATGGATGGAATGCACAAAGTCACTGTACCAAAAAGAGTTGGTCAATGTTCAACCATTTCAGGAGGTAGCATATGATCAAGAACTGATGGTACTGAAGGAAGTATTCCAAGCTGCACTGAAGGCACTGGTAAAAAACAAGGTTCCAGGAATTAACAGAATATCAACTAAGATGTCTCAACAAATGGATGTAGTGCTGGAGGTGCTCACTTGTCTATGCCAAGAAATTTGGATGAGAGCTACCTGACCAACCAACTAGAAGAGATCTATGTTTGTGCCCATTCCAAAGAAAGGTGTTCCAATAGAATGCAGAAATTATCGAGCAATATCATTAGCATCACATGAAAGTAAAATTACCTGAAGTTAATTCAAAAGTGGTTGCTGCTGTACATCAACAGGGAACTGCCAAAAATTCAAGCTGGATTCAGAAGAGGACATAGAACGAGGGATGTCATTGCTGATGTCAGATGGATCTTGGCTGAAAGCAGAGAATACCAGAAAGATGTTTTCCTTTGTTTTATTGACCATGTAAAGGCATTTGACTGTGTGGATCATAACAAATTATGGATAACTTTGGGAAGAATGGGAATTCCAGAATGCTTAATTGTGCTCATGAGGAACCTGTACATAGACCAAGAGGCAGTTAGTGGTTCGAATAGAACAAGGGGATACTGTGCGGTTTAAAATCAGAAAAGATGTGTGTCATGGTTCTCTCCTTTCACCACACTTACTAAATTTGTATGCTGAGCAAATAATCCAAGAAGTTGGACTATATAAATAAGGATGTGGCATCAAGTTTGGAGGAAGACTCATTAACAACTTGCGTTATGCAGATGACACAACATTGCTTTCTGACAGTGAAGAGGACTTGAAGCACTTACTGGTGAAAATCAAAGACTACAGCTTTCAGTATGGATTACATCTTAACATTAAAAAAAAAATCCTCATAACTGGACTAAGAAACAGCATCATCATATATACATAATATTATACGGTATTTTAAAATAATTTCCTATTCCTATGCTGTTATTCCCATTGCCATTGAGTTGTGTCTGACTCACAGTGACCCTATAGGACAGAATAGAACTGGCCCATAGGCTGAATCTAATTCAGCTAACTAAATTATAAAAGTCTTAAGGACAGGGACTAATTCTCTTTTTCTAAAAGCACCTGAAATAATACTTATTAAACAACAAATTGTAAATAATGCTTTTTGACAGACACATCAGAGAAATAAAAATGAATAGAATGTGTAAGAAAATAGTTTTTTTTTAATTTTTACCTTTGTCTTTATAAATACTGTATTTTTATATGTATAAGTTTAATTACTTGTAAGTTCATATGTATAAGTATCCACTGTCATTTCTGATACATTCACTAGATGCTCAGAAAGTATGCATTTTTTTGCCATGGATATCTTATACTTATTTCCATCTTTTGTTTTTATTTCCTATTTTATAAGTCATCACATTTTCTAAGTGATTTAAACAAATGAAATGAAAGAAACAATTGAAATGTCATCCCCAAAATAGGGGTTTTAGGTAGAAAGTTATCAGCTTGTTTACCTGAAACACATGGATTTTATTATTACGCTGTAGTATCTTGGTTGAGGGGAATATACTTGACCTCTTAGCCTACTGTTTTGGACAGGAATTATATCCAATCCATCAGTTGTAATGTCAAAATGATAAATTCTTGGCAGCAGTAGTTTCTTCCTCCAGGGGAAAATCATTTACTTTTTCAACTGTCAGGTCCTCTATAATTCTAAATATTTAGATGACATTTCCAAAAACAATACAAACGTGTGTTTAATGAGCTCGCTAAATCCACTGGAAGCTTTAATATATTGGAAGAGGAAAATAGGCCTGTTTGTTTTTTACTGTCAACATACTAATGAATTAATTCAGAATTATTTCAGCATTGAAAGCTAATATGCTTTTATTACTATTTTCAGTGCTAAAATTTCCTTAGCGGCATTTGAAAGGACAAAAGAGTAACTCTTTCTGTGAAGTCCAGGACCAGTAAAGCATTAATTCTGGCAACATCCCCCACTAATTTATGCATTTTTCCTTTGTCACAGGAGATAGCGGCAGTGCAATCTGCCTTTGCTTTCTGAGAGTACTTGCTTCTCATATGCCAGGCTCCAAAATTGCCTAAACAATCTAGTTATTTACTCAGCATATAAAAAGGCATATCCAACACCCACTGCCAGCAATCTTTCCATTGTCTTTCCATCTCAAACAAACTAATTTCTACTTCCTAGTTTAGGGTTTGGTGTGCTTGCACCCTTCCTCCCCAGTCTCACCTGTGGTACAGTCACACCAACTTATCCTTTGCTTTCAGCCTGAATGTCACTGCTTACCTGATGGCCAGACTTTGTCCTGCTGTTACGTTATCTCACCACACCATCTACGTCTCCTTCACGTGGCTTTCCATGAATACTGTTAAATATATTTTTTGTTCTGCTGGGCTTAACATTCATTTCTCTATCTAGACTGTAAGTTCCATGCAGGAGGGACCCTCACTCTCTTCTTCCTTCTCTTTTCCGTCTTTAGCATGACACCAGGGACATGGCAAGAGCACAAACACTCTTGACTATTGGAATAAATTGATGAGACTTCTATCTTTCTCTTGATGATTTGGATTGGAAAATAAAATTTGTTTTAGATTTAACAGAAAGCATGATAAACTATTTGGAATCATTAAAAATTGGAATCTAACACCCTTCACAAATTATGGATAACCTTGTGAAGAATGGGAATTCCAGGGCACTTAATCATGCTCATGAGGAACCTGTGCATAGAGCAAGTGGCAGTCATTCGAACAGAGCAAGGGGATACTGAATGGTTTAAAGTCAGGAAAGGTGTGCATCAGGGTTGTACCCTTTCACCATACTTATTCAATCTATATGCTGAGCAAATAATCTGAGAAACTAGACTATATGAAGAAGAACGGGGCAACAGGATTGGTGGAAGACTCATTAACAATCTTTAATACACAGATGACACAACCTCGCTCGCTCAAAGTGAAAAGGACTTGAGGCACTTATGGATGAAGATCTACAGCCTTCAGTATGGATGACACCTCAACGTAAAGAAAACAAAAACCCTCACACTGGGCCAATAAGCAATATCATGATAAATGGAGAAAATATTGAAGTTGTCAAGGATTTCATTTTACTTGAATCCACAATCAATGCCCGTGGAAGCAGCAGTCAAAAATTCAGAGGACGCATTGCACAGGGCAAATGTGCTGCAAAAGACCTCATTAGAGTCTTAGAAAGCAAAGTCACTTTAAGGACTAAGGTGTACCTGACCCAAACTATAGTGTTTTCAATTGCCTCATATGTATGTGAAATCTAGACAATGAATAAGGAAGACCGAAGAATTGATGACTTTGAATTAGGATGTTGGTGAAGAATGTTGAATATACCACTGACTGCCAGAAGAGTGAACAAATCTGTCTTAGAAGAAATACAGCCAGAACGTTCCTTAGGAGCAAGGATGGTGAGACTAAGTCTCACATACTTTGGGCATGTTATCAGGAGGGACTAGTCCCTGGAGAGGGACATCATGCTTGGTAAAGTAGAGGGTCAACAAAAAAGAGGAAAACCCTCAACAAGATGAATTGATACAGTGGCTGCAACAATGGGCTCAAGTATAATAACATTTGTGAGGATGGCATAGGACCGGGGCAGTGTTTTGTTCTGTTGTACATAGGGTTTCTAGGAGTCAGAACTTACTCAGTGGCACCTACCAACAACAACAACAACACTCTTCACAAATTTGCTTGTCATCCTTGTGCAGGGGCCATGCAATTCTTCTCTGTACCCTTACAATTCTAGAATATGTGCCTTCAAAGCTAGCACGGAATCTTAACACTCTTAATGAATATTTATCTACTTATAACAGAGTCCAACTATTTGTTTCATATAGATAATTCTTTGTAGTTCATAGATAGGAGAAGCAGTAACAGTCATTAAAATACACATTCTGCAATTATCCCCTAATGTACAAGTGAAGGAAAAAAAACTTGCTAATGGCCTAAGTTTCAATAATTTTATGCGACCATCTTCAGATGTCACCATAACTACTTTCATGCATCTACTAGCATCCACTACAATGACCTCCTTTTATACACACAAACGCATGCATACATATGTACATTTTTCTGCATTGTTTTGATGTAAGGGCAGTCTCTTCTGGCTTAGCACAGTAGTCATTCTGGTGGAAACTAACCTCACTTTTTAGTGGGCATTCTGTATATACTTCTAAAATCATTTGGAATGTTTCTATATTCTGTCTCTGTACTTTTAATTCAAGTTCTCTTAGGCTTTCAAATAATTAGAATTATGCTAATGAACCTGAGATTTAAAATAAGTGTGGGAGATGATAGCAATGCACTGCCAGAAAAAATGTAATTTTAGTCTTCACAAGCAACCACAACAGCTCTTCTAACACCGCTGTCAAAAGCATGACAGATGTGTGAGTTGGCAATTTTGTGGAGTTCTTATAAAGCTGTTCCCATTGTCAGTGAAAAATAAGAGCAGATGGGGGAGGTCTCAGGAGGTAAGCCATCTATTATTTGGCCTTTAAGGTTTGAAAGTGTGTTGGTTACTAACTTACCTTTATTAAATAAATAAATTTAATAGTAAGAGGAACCCTGGTTGCTCAGTGGCTAAGCACTCAACTGCTAACTGAAAGGTTGGCTCTTTGAACCCACCAGCTGCTCGGCAGGAGAAAGATGTGGCACTCTGCTTCCGTAAAGTTTGTAGCCTTGGAAACTCTATAGGGTGGGTCTCTTTTGTGCTATAGGGTCCCTATGAGTTGGAATCAACTTGATGACAACAGGTTTGGTTTTTTGGTTTAAGTTTAATAAAGCACGACTAGTCTATGAGTTGGAATTGACTTGATGGCAACAGGTTTGTTTTTTTTTGGAGTCTAAGGGATTCACCAATAGCACCTCAGGCAAAGGGTTTTTTGGTTCACGTGGCTCAGTGATTTATGATAGTTACATACTCATATTTCATTCCCAAGGTAATGTCATAACATCAATGTGACCATGTTTCTTTGCCTCAACTTTTTTTTTTTAATTCATAGATTATATTGTCCATGTGCCAATGTCAGTGGTTTGCAAAATGTACGTAAAGTGATTTGTAGTGGGTTCGTACCCACAACCTCTCAGTTAGTAGCCAAGTATTTAACCAACTGTGCTACCCAGGGACTCCTAGTTTGGAATTAAGAGCTTTTTATCTCTGAAGTTGTGATGGTTAATGTTATGTATCAACTTGGCTAGGCTATGATTCTCAGTAGTTTGGCAGATGCTCTTCCATGATGTAATTACTTTCCATTTTGTAATCTGATGTGATCAGCCAATCAGTTAATGGGGGAGTTTCTTTGTGGGTGTGGACTACCTCCAGTGTATAAATGGATGTTCTGGCAAAGATCTCTCTTGCCCCTGCACTCTTCTTGTCACCTCCGGTTCTTGGGACATATACCTACAGAAATCTCCAGCCTGCATCCTGACCTGCAGATCTTGGATTCTCCAGCCTCCACAACTCCATGAGCCAGCAAAGGCCTACTGCCTGCTCCCTGATCTGCAGATCTTGGATTCACCAGCCCTTGCAACCCTGTGAGCCAACAGAGGTCTTTAGTCTGCCCATGGACCCGTGGATTTGAGACTTGCCAGCCCCTGCAATTGCATGAGCTATTTTCTTGAAGTAAATCTCTCTCTATTTATATATACATTTCACTGATTTTGCTTTTCTAGAGAACCCAGACTAAGACAGAGGGTATGAAACAGGATTTGTGATGGCTTTACAACTGGAAGCCATTTCATCTCTCTGTGTAGTCTCAATGTACAGAGCTTGGCTCTCAGTGACCATGTTTAAAACTTTTACCCTGATTTCTTAATAATAATTGCCTAAGTTTGGGGTTGAATTGTAATTTTGACCCATGATAGGTTAATCAAAACCTACATTTAGCTGTTCCAAACTGGATCTTGGAGGAACCACAAGTATAATTTAATTTCTGTCTTGAAGCTTTTACACGCGCACACACACTGCTCTGTCCACTCTTTTGCCCTGAATACAATTTCTTCCTTGAGCACCCTGTGGAAATGAGCTTTCAAGGGATGTAGTCTAAGTGAGTTAGTGAGGGCAATTGCTAAGCACCCCCAATGATTTCAGACTTATTGGCTTCCACTTGGCCTTTGGCCAAATGAAATTTTACCCGCTTATATTGTGGGCAGAACAGCTCCAGATTCTCTTCTGCTGTGTGTTAGAGGTGAAAAAATTTGTATGTTCACCAACTACTGCCAAGGGCTGATCCTCTTTTGATGTTAGGTTCCTTCACTACCTTACAATCTCAGAGTTTTAGTGGGAATAAGAAATGTTATGAAATTATTGCTTATCTTTTTTTTTTTTCACATTTTTAAGTTAGGGCAACACTTTTCTTTTTAAAGCATTCTCCATCCTAAGCAGAAGTGGAAGTCCACCCACAAATTTTGCCATTTAACTTTTACTTCCATGTTTAAAATTTTTATTTCCATTCAGTTTACAATATTTTTAAATTTCCCTTGGGATTGTTTTTTTACTTCTTGTCTTATTTAGGAATGTGTTGCTTTATTTATATATTTGTGGATTTTATTTATATCTTAATTTTTATTATTAATTTAATATAATTATAATTAGAGAGTGTACTCGATTCTTTCAAAATTTCAGCATTTCTTAAGACTTGTTTTATGAACCAAAATAATTATTTGTAGTTATTGTAGCTGCACTTGGGGAAATGTGTATATTCTGTAGTGATTGACAATAGCCTGTTATAAAAGTTAATTAGATCAAGTTGTTAATGTTCTTGTTATTGTTAGCTGCCATGGAGTTGATTTCCACTCATAGCCATCCCATGGGACAGAGTAAAACTGCCCCATAGGATTTTCTAGGCTGTAATCTTTACATGAGTAGACTGCCAGGTTGTTCTCCTGCAAAGCCTCTGGTAAGTTCCAACCACCAATCTTCTGGTTAGCAGCCAAATGCTTAACCGTTGCACCACCAGAGTTCCTTGTAAGTTGTTGATAGTATTATTCAAATCTTCTATAATTTTACAGATTTACATAATAAAATTGGGGTCTACTAGTAAGGAATAACAGGGATTACTAGAAAGCCAGAAGTTTTTACATGTCTGCATATTCTGCATGAATGACTTTATGACATCATTTTAATCTTAGGAATTTAATATTCTCATTAACATATAGTCATTCAAAAATATAGTAGATGCCCAAAATACTTATTTTTTGTTAATTTCATATGAGAATAACACAGCCTAAGACCTAGTTGATCATAGTTTTTAAACCTATACTAACTGGACTTTGCGTTCTATCAACACCCCTCTCTTTTAGCTCAATGGTCCCTCCTTTGAGATAATCTGAAACCTTTGCCATTTTTGCGAGTAAGCTCACTGCATTTGTATGGCAAGGCACCAGTATTATTTCCTACTATAGCTGCAGTTTCACAACCACGACTTATAACTAATTCAATATCGAACACAGAAGCAATTGGATTTTTAACCTGGAAAATGTTCCAAATTGCAGACTCCCTGGCAATTTATTTTATAAGCCATAGACACAGAGCTTCTCCCTTGGCCAAGTGGCATTTCCTTCTTGCTCTGCTCGGTAGTAGCAAAGCTCCAGTCTCAATTGATCTCTCACTGATAAGGTTTTGCTGAAAACATTAGGAAGGAGCCAGCACATACTAACATTTTGAATTTTTCATACAATTTCCTGTAATATAACAGCCTTAGGCTTCATGGGCTCTGCCTTCCAAAATACTGAAGGTAACGTGTGACCTTGTGTTTTGCCACTACAAAATGATTGCCATCATCTTTTTAGCTTGCAAAATCATACTCCTTAGTGTACATATTCTCAATTCTTCCAGTTAGCTAATTCCGCAAATAGTGTTGTGTTACTGGCAGTACATTGCAACTAGTACTCAACTTATTTGGGATAAGATTCAACTGCATAAATTAGAAATCCCAATAAGTGGTTTAAAGAAAATAGAAGTCCAATTCTTTCTTACTCAAAAGAAGCCCAGAGGTAGACAGTCAAGAACAAATACAGTATTAGCTTTATCTTCTATCATATTTACTACACAGCTTTTGTTCTCAATGTTACTTCTTTGTCCATGATGGCTGCTGGATTTCAAGCTCTAGGTCTGTAGTCCTGGGATGAAGAAGAAAGGGTTATAAGACTAAAAGGGCACTTGTGTCAGTTGATCCTGCCCCTCCAGTGCCTTACCTAATACAAATAACAACTCCTACTACCTTTTATTGGCCACCATAGCTGCAAGGGAGCCAAGGAAAAGCAATTATTTTACTAATTACCAACTGTGTTCTTTTTATGAGAAAAAGAAAAAAGATCCACTTCTAGACAAAGAAGTCTGTGCCTCCCTTGCCTGTTCTTTGTGAATGAAACTGAGACTTTGTTTACACTTGAAGATCAATAATTTCAAGATATGCAATTGCGTTATTTTTAATCAAGTTTTCCTGATATACTAAACCCTATTGAACCTTCATGTCTCTAGTGACTTTGGGGAAACTTGGGGTTAATCAATGAAAAAAAATTATCATGAGATAGCAGCATTGCACAACAAGCTATTTATTGCGGATAATGCATTGATAAGGAGCCCTGGTGGTGCAGTGGTTAAGATCTTCGCTGCTAACCCAAGGTTTGGCAGTTCGAACCTACCAGAGTCTCTGAGGCAGAAAGATATGGCAGTCTGCTCCAGTAAAGATTTACAGCCTTGGAAACCCTTAATGGGGCAGTTCTACTCTGTCTTACCGGGTCACTATGAATTGGAATCATCTCGATGGC